GCCCTGAATAAAAAGAGAATGTGTACCAAAAGCAGTTAGCTTTAGAATGCATCTTTTATGTCTCAAAGAGCTAAAACCCCTTATATTATTCAAACACCATAAAAAACTAAATCACTCTAACACTCCCATATTGTATTTCTTTTTCTAGCACACTATATTAGTAAATACAATTGGTTTTGTCAACCCAATGGGGCAATAATGATAATAATAATAATAAAGGCATCTAATTTATTAAGCACTTAATTTGTACCAGTTGCTGTTCTAAGTCCTTAACATGTATGAAGTTATTTAATTCTCACAACAGAGCTTCAAGGTAGGTGCTAACATTATTTCCATTAGTCTGATTCCAAACATTGATGTATTTTAATTGCTCACTAAGACCAGATCATTCTTGCTCAACAACTATGTAGACAATTCACCAATGTCCAAACACTCCTTCATTGCTCTCAGCAATATAAGACAGAGAGAACAGACTATCTGTACAGTCATACGAGTTCAGTAAATGCATCTCTACTAATATGTTCATTTTTAATGCTGTTCAAACATTCACATGGAAACAGCTCTAGCGTAAATATCCCCGAACAAATGGCTGTATATTATCCAGGAGGGAGCAGTTGGCCCGCCAGACTGGGGAAGTACTAGGCCATCTGGCTCCGGCAATCTCTCCAAAACCATCAGCTTTGTTTTCACCCCCAGACTCCAAACAACACATTTTCCACTGTGATGAGTTTACATTTTCCCAAACACAGGTCCTGATCATGCATAAAAATTCCAAACTTCTTCATTCCTCTATGTGCAAGGAAATTTAAATCACCTACATTTTTGACATGTTACCAAAGGAGAGAGAAAGCTGTTGAAATATGGCCTCTGACTATAAACTTGCTGTGTCCTTTTTTGTTTGTTTATGTCCCCAAATATATGAAAGAACCTCTCTGCTGGCCTAGTGAATTCCTTGGGAACTTATTGATATACTGAAAATGTGTTTATCTACCAATGAAGAACCATGAACTGAAAGGATTGTTAATCAAATCTATGTAGCCATGGCAGGATATAATGAAACAATCAATAGGAAAAAAATACACTTGCATCAATAACTTAAAGTACTGGGAAGATCAAAACAAATATATAAAGAAGTCTAGCTGGGAAGAGAAACCTGATAACATTTCTGATGATTGTACCTTGGACCCCCCACCGTCCTGGGACCCTTTTCACAGTCTCCTCACTACATCACCTACTTTCAAATCCATACATACAAGGATTATGTGACTACGATCTTCTGCTTCTCAAACAAGCTTTTGTTTAGGGGAAGAGAGTGTTTTGTTTTGATAACTTAATACAATTTGGTATCTTTTCTTTGAATTGTAAAATATCACTCTTTTAAAGCAAGATGGTAAGAGGGGAGATAAGCTAAACTTTAAAAAAAAAACTATTTAAAGATAAACAACTCACTATAGCAATCACAGAATATAATCGTATTTCAAATACTACATGAAAATCTGACAGGATGCCCACTAAACCTCAGACCTCCCCCACTGGATTCATTTGAGCTTCTGCAGTAGATATTGTTTCTGGATGCAACAGCCATAAACTTCTGGGTCCTACAGGGCATTCTGCATGCTCACTAATGGAATACCAAAAACAGTAATGACACGAAAACAAACTATTTTTAGTCCAGCTAAACTTGGTTTTGAACAACCCTTCCCAAAAGCAAGCCTCTTATTTTCTAGTTGGTGGATGAATTTTTAAAATATTATATCCTGTGTGCTTTACAATGAAGGCATAGGGATAAGGGATCTCAGATTCTTACATATTTATTTCTAATGAAGCTTCATCTTTCCTGGTAGAGTCCAAAAATTAAGAGTCATTACCCAAAATAGTCTAATGAGACACTTTGAAAAGGTGTGAAATACTGTGTCATACCAATACATCTTGGTTGATTGAGTACATTTCTTTTTTATCTCAATGCTGCTAATTCCACTCAAGATCAAGAACAGTCTATGGAAATGTAGAATGCACAAATAGTTTTAATTTTTGCTTGCCCGAAATTCCTTTTGCGTTTTAACCCCACTTTCTAGTCAAGGATATGAAATCACTCACATAAAGCTGTGTCTCTGATAGGAAAAATGTTATATTAAACAGGCAGCTAAGAAAAGACACTTGAACAGTGGCTAGGTATTCCTTCCACAATTGATGTTATCAGAACTTATCACACCAGAAATGTTTCATTCTGTACTCTAAATAATTATCAAAATCCATAGTCTATGAGGAAGAATTTCACAGGAAAGAAATGTAATCATTTAATCAATCAGTTTATATCAAGACTTACATCTGATTTAAGGAGCCACTGTATATTAAACTAAAATCAAAGATTCAAGAAATTTAAAATCAGACTTGGTATTTAATTATGATAGAATAATTTCAAGTTAGATGAAGATTCACTGTTTTACTCATTAAGGCTAAATATAAATTATTTTTATGTCACACCTAGGGAAAGTTAAGCTTCTTCACGCTGATCTATCTGCTTTTTGGAGGCCATTGTATTAACCCTGTAGACAAGAAGCTAACCTACTTCCAAAACTCTTGGAGCACATAATCAAAGAACAAGCAATTGGATAATGAATAGGAACTGCCTTTCAAAGTGAAAGCTACAAAGAGGTGGTTATTTAAACAATTATTATGAAAGCACACAGGTATGCTTTGAGATATTTCTTTTCGTGATATTTTTTAGACTTAATTATTAAACCTTTTCTCAGGCCACTCCCCACCAAAATATATCATTGTATGCATTTATAATTTTGACTTTTACTGAGATGTCATATTATGGCAAATGACTTTCTCATAAGTGCTATTACCGAAAATAAAACTAATCTTGTTCTTATTCCTCTCTCTCTCTCTTTCTGTCTCTCTTCCTCCCTCTTTCCTGATAGAATTTATGACACCAAGTGGTCAAAGAATGCCTTAAGCTGCAGTTCTTCTTAAGCTCTATGACCTTGTTAGTAAAATGATATTTGATGTATTGCCTTAAAAAAAATCAAAAGACGATTCTCCCCCCATTTTTATATGAGTATAAAGTCAGTTCATCCCATAATGGGAAAATCAGTTAGTAGTGGCACTTTTTGACTAAAGAGACTTAAAATAAAATTTTGAGGAGGTTTACATCAGAAAGCGATTAATCACTTCAAACATGTCTTAATTCTGTGCTTCTTACAATTGTTCATTTCATAGTGCTACCTATAATTTAATATTTCATTGGTCAATGTTGCACAAGCAGACAGGCCATATGCACTGATTTGTGTAGGTGTGCCTTTTATCTTTTACAAAGTAAATCCTAATAAATATATAGAGAATATGTCTTAGAGTTCCTACTTTCCCCCACTCCCTCCCAACTTTTTTTTTTTTTTTTTTTCCTGTAATGAGAATGGCAGGAAAAGATATCCAGGGTATCAAAAGTAATTTTTGAAAACAAAACTCCACTTAAGACATTTTTATTTTGACATCGCAAAAGAAAAAAAAATTATTAAAAATCAGGCTTTTGTGTTTCTGCCTTGGAAGGCAAAAAAAAAAAAAAAAAAAAGGCAGTGTCCAAATGAAAGGGAATTATCCTATGTAATGATTAAATCCATTAAAGAAAATAAAACCCAGACCAAAAGTATAAATGGTGATTTACTCTGAGCAATCAACTGAGAAATAAACAGATTTTTAAGAAAGCCAAATATTTTAGGCAAATAACATGAAACAGAGTTCAATCAATATTTATTTTTATTTTAACAAATAGATTTCATACTCTTGTTTTCTACTTGTGTCACACTGAAATATGAACGTGATCATCAAAAATAGCTGTTATTAAATTGGTTCTTGAATATTAGATTTTTTTTAACACCCAACAGCTTATTAATGTGGCATTTCTACCACATATTTAAGTGTGGTGTATCTAAAAACAATTTTTAAATATGCATATATACCCTAATTTGAAACTTTCTTAGCCAATATCTATGAAAGAAGATCATTTCTCTTATTTTAAAGGAAACATTCTAAAATCACAATCAAGTAAATAAATTCTAATCCTCTTGCTAAATTGCTGGTTAGTACACAATGGATAACTTTTTCTTTGTTCTGATTTCTTTCCCCCACCCAATAAAACTGTCTTCTTTTTTCTGCTACTAACTCCTCCAACTACCTAACCAGCTACTTAATTCTGAAACTAAACTTTTTCTTAAAATTAAGAAGAAGGGGAAAAAGCTCCTGTGCCTCATTAAAACGTCAGGCCTCTTTTCTGACTCGGCTCATAATTGTATCTTTTAAACCATAACTCAACCTTAATGTATACTGCTTGACACCCGCGTGTTGGAAGCTTAAGAAAATGCCGTCTATGTACCTTTAAGACCACAAGCTCACTCATGCTGCCTGGCTTCCTGCCAAACTTGGAGGCAAAAGCAGGAGGGTTTTTGCAAAATATCCTCTAACAATTGTCGCTCCCTCTTTCAACACTACCTTCACCATCATTCCCTTTGAAAACAAACCTGCAGAATGGTCATCTGCGCTCTCAGCCCATCTCATCATTCCTGGGGAAGCCGCCTCTGCCACCCCTCCTCCGCCCCTGCAGGCCCTCGCCCCTCTGCCTTCTGGGGAGGCCTGGCTAGCTTGGGTTTCAGAGGTTCAGCCCACTCCTCACCAGGGTCCCTGGGCACCTTTTGCGCCCTTTGGGGCTCCCTGGCCAGGTCAGAGGAAGTTCAGCCCTTATTCTCGCCACTCAGCACCCTGCAGTCTTAATTCACAAGGCCCGAGTTCCCTTGGAGGGACGGCGCCGTCGAGCCCTCATCCCCATGCGGCGGTACAAGCGCATGAATGGACACTGGAAGGCGGTGCGAGTGTGGTCTGAGCCGCCCCCGCTGGCTTTTAGAGTTAGAGTCCCAGCCCTCCTGCGGTGGAGCAACTAGCTTCTTGACTGTCCTGAATTTTGTGACCTAGAGACCCCCGTGGCCCAAAATTAAGAAACTTACTTGTTTTGTCATGGAGTCAATGAGGCGCACGTAGAAATCCTGCTCCGTCCTTATCCCTAGGGTTGGAAATGGGGGAAGGGAGCAGAATTAAGTGAGAGGCAATGAAGGGTGGGTGGACAATAACTAAACAACAAAAAAATAACAACAAAACCCCCAAACATATCACAAAAGGGGCTCCAAGGCTGATTGGAACTCCCACTGTCCTGGAAAATACAGCCAGGATCTCCCTTCCCCAGAGGGAGTTGCTGAGAGGTGCTGCTGACCTAGCCTTAGCGCTCCCGGAAGCCAGACCCCAAGGTCTGCAGCTGGGACTGGGATGGGGGTACCCCGACTTGTCTATTCTCACAAGAGTCCCTCTGCTCTCGCCTGCAGCCTTTAAGGCCATGACCCTTCCTAGCCCCTAAACTCAAGGGGACTTGGGCCTGGAGCCTGGGCCAAGCCAAAGGAACAGGCCTCAGGATAGGGGAGGAAGAATGAAAGTGGCTCAAGGATGGATGAGGCACTACACCTGGCCCCAGGTAAAAGCGAGACCGGTAAGGCTCTTGGGCCACTCGGAGCCTCCTCAGGTGAAACCTCCTAGGGCGAAATTTAGGAGAGGCTGGTTCACCTCGAATAAGGCGGGTGACTGACCTTCGCTGGAGGATTTCGTCCACCTGGAGCTCCCTGTGCCCCCTGCCCAGACCCGGAGCCCCAGGGTGAGGGCACAGACCCGCCCCGGGACTCACCATTGCTGTAGAGAAGCTGAAGCCGGTAGTGAATTCCGTTATTGGTCTTTTCGCTGTTGGCTTCCTGGGTTGCATCAGGACGCAAAGACACAAGAGATGCAGGAGAGAGGTCTGCGTGAGCGAGTGGACCAACTTTCGAGGCAACTTTCCCCCAGCCGGGACCCCCGCTGGCCAGTCAGCCAGCCACGGTAGCAGCAGAAATTGCGGCCAATTGTGATCCCTCCTCCGCCCCCCGTTTCCTGACTGCTCCCACTCTCCCAAAAGAAAATTCCGTCGGGCGCACACAGGCGATTCTCTTCCCAGGGCCTAGGGGCTAGTGCCCGGACCACCAGAGGCAGGCGGTGCATGATCTGGTAGTGGATGGCGGGTTCATCCCGGGTGCCCAAGGCTGTGGATTGTAGAGCCAGGCTTGTCTCTCTCTAGCTCTGGGGGCTCTGTGCGAACTTTTTTGGAGCAGGAGCCAGTGGACCAAGACCCTGGGTTCGTCCGGGATGGGAAGTGGCTTGGGGACCCCCACACAGAAGTGTGTTATGGATGCTTTGCACTCAAGGAAGGGCGCACCGCCCAAGGCTCCTGGGCCTGCTCCCGAGCCGAGCCGGGGACGAGGGGCGACAGCGCTGCGCCCACTTACTTTTTCCTTCTCCACGAACCCCACAAACGCTGTCCTCTCGATCTCCACGGGCTGGCCCTGTCTGTCGTAGAGGGCCAGGACGAAGTGGAAGAAGTTGGATTTCCGCAGATTGGAAGGTGGCTGCTTCTCAAAGTGAGCCCGGGCCAGACCCACCCCGCTGCGGCCAAAGACACAGAGTTAGATGGCTAAACCGAACGCCGACCCGCGCCCCTTGTCACCCTGTACACACACTCGAACCCTCAAACACCCACCTCCTCTTCCCCCAAAATATCCAGTGGGCGCTCTTCACGCCCCTTCAGGCGACATAGACCCAGCTGACGACGGGACACACATGTCCCCTCTTGTTCTGGTCCTCTCCGCCAAGGACGGGTGCGTCCTCAGAACTCGCTGAAGAAGTGTGAAAGTTTTGTTTGGATTTTGCGCGCAAGATGAAACGCTATAAGCATTTACTCCTACCTGACACGCGCTGCATGGGGAGAAAGAAAAGTGGCGGTGGATGAAGTGAACACACCTTCGCGGAATAGAACCCACAGTTCTATTCCGGCACCCCTCGAATCTCACGTCTCAGCTAGCAGGGCAGGTGGGAATGGATGGAAAACACGCTCGGCGTCTCGCCGCAGCAGCCACCCTCCAGGAACCCCTCGCGCTCCGGCCAACTGCGAGTGCCTGGCCTTGGGAAGCCACATCCCCCCACCACCAAAAAGCATGTGGAGAAGGGTCCGAGGGCGGGGCTCAGAACTGTCGAGGGTGGTCGCTGTGAAAAAGGGAAGAGGGCTGTTTTCTTAAAGACCTGTCCTAACAAAGTTTCGCTGTACCGCAGAAATCCTCATACTCATTCCAGAAATCCTAAAGGCCGGGGCTGCTGGCTCAGTGCGCCGGCCGACGACAGGAGGCTGGAGCGCCTGGGGCGCCAGGCGGCCGCTGACAGCCGGACCTGCCCAACACAAGCGCGCACAGGCACACACATACACATACACATACACGAACACACACGAGCGCCCCGCGCACACACTTTCACTTCCAGCCCAGTTACCCAATTCACTCTCACTACCACCCACCCTCATCCTAATACTCAGTAGGGATGGGAACAGTGTTAGGGACACTTGTCCCCAGCCCAGGGAAACTGGAGATGATGTAATTAGTCATCTTCCTTCTTCCCCTTCCGCACTCTGAGTCCGATAAGGCCTGGGGCCACCAGATCTCCCACTGTCCCAAGCTCAGCTTGTGGCTTAAGGGTGGGGAAAAGGCCATTTTTCACTTGGGACCAGGAGCCTGGGAAAGGGCCTTGGGTGTGCCCAGGAAAGTTCCCTCAGGTCAACCTCCAAGGGCAATGCCTTCAGGACACACGGTCTAGTGTCTAGGGAGCTGCGAGTGAGAGAGGGGCTGGAAGAGGCCATGGTGACAGGGGGTGGAGAAGACTTTTAGGAGATGTCAGAATTAAAGTTGGGAGTTGCTATTCTACCGGTAGACTGAGAAAAACTGAAAGTCAGAGAGGGAGGGAAGGAGAACCAGATAGCAGAAATAAGAGAAGACTCAGGGGAGAAATGGGACGAGAAAACAGGAGGGACAGAGAGGTAAGGAAAGGAGAAAGAGGAGAAAGGAGGGAAGCTGAAGAAAGAAGAGAAAGAAAAGGTAGAGAGGGAGGAAGGGAGGAAGAGAGTGAGGGAGGAATTAAGGGAAGGTGGGGGAAAGAAACGAGAGAAGGAAATGAAAGAAAGAAGAGAAGAAAGAAGGCAGGAAGAGAGAGAGGAAAAAAGGAAGAACGAAATAAATGGAAGGAGGGAAGAGAAGGAGAAGAGAAGAAAATAAAGGAGAGAAGAAAGGAAAGAGGGAAGAAAGAGAAAAGAAGGGCAGGAAGAGAAAAGGGAAAGAAAAAGGAAAAAGAAAAGAAGGAAAGAAAAAAGAAAAGAGAAAGAAAGAAAAGAAAAGAAAGAAAAAGAAAGAGGAAAAAAGAAAGAAAGAGGAAAAAAAGAAACAGGGAAAGGAAGAAAGAAAGAAGGGAAAGAAGAAAAGACAGCCGGCCGGAAAAGAAAGAGCAATCACATAGAAACATAAAACACAGATATCCAACATGCTGTGTCGAGACGCCTCTTCTGGGTTAAAACAAAATGAAAACAGTCACAGACGAGGCAGGGGAAAGTGCTGGCAAAGCGTGGGCTCCTCGCAGACAGCTCCGGGTCCTCCGGCCGCAGGCGACGAAGGCACTGCGGCTGGGGAGCGCGGAGCCCCGGCGGAGAGCGGAGCGCAGCGGCTGCGGACGCACCCCACGGCCCGGCCCCGCGGCGGCAGCTACCGCTGCCGCCGCCGCCTCCCGGCTCTCCCGCTCGCGGCTCACCTCGGCCGCAGTCCCCGCGCGGTACCCACCTCTGCGCCGCCGTGTTGGCGTCCAGCACCCCGGCGCCCTGCATCCACGTCCGCACCGCGTTCATGCCGCTGCCCAGCGGCTCTTCCTTCATGCTGCTTCCACTCCGTTGGATGCTTTCCTGAATCCCAAACATGAAAACAACCTTTTCTTGTGGAAAATCTCCTCCCCCTTGAAAAAAAAAATTAAAAAAAAAAAAAAAAGAAAAGAAAGAAAAAGAAAAGAAACAAAAACGCCAACCAGAGATTTTTTTTTTCTCGGACGATGAACTCGCACTTAGAAGATCAAGGCGGGCTGGAAAGCAAATTTGTAAAAAATGTAAACCTCTGCTCAAAACTGAGCGATAACCCGAAAAAAAGAAGAAAGGGAAAATCCAACGAAAAGACCAAAATAATAAAATTAGAGATGTATGCTTGGCTGTTGGGGGTTGTTTGGTTGGTTGATTTTTGGTTTGGGTGCTTTTTTTTTTTTTGCTTTTTTTTTTTTTTTTTTTTTTTTTTTGTAATGATCACAGGCCGGTGGAGGACAGGAGGGGCTGGAGTTTCCTTTTGTAGAGGTACCTTCACTTGAAGAAGCAGGAAGAAAAAAAAAAAGAAAAAAAAAAAAAAAAAAAAACCCTGATGGCAATTTAAGAAACAATAGACTCAACTCGCGCTGCCGGCTTTGCTACTTCAAGTGTCATTTTCCACAACCAGGCAAGTTTTTTCCTCTCTCTCTCTTTTTTTTTCCTCCTTCTCTCCCAACCAAAGATGTTTCTTTCCTTTGCGTGTAGATGAGGAGGACGCTGGTTGCCGTAGACAGATACACCAGAGAGGGTGGGGGGAAGGGGAGAGAGGGAGAGAGGAAAGGGGGGGAGGGAAAGAGAGATAGAGAGAGAGGAGAGGGAGAAAGAGAGAGGGGTGGACCCTGCTGGATGGAGATTCTGTTTTCTCCTTGCTAAAATAGAAGTGATTTGCAGGCTTTCCCTATGGAATCCAGTTTGACTCTCCCCAGAGCTAAACACAGGCACACTAACCCCAAAGGGAGGAGGCGGGGCCCGCGCCTCGAGGCCCCGCCCCTTCATTTGCATAACGTCATCTTTCCGCCCCGCCGCAGCCAATCGCGACCCGGGAGCCGGGTAGCTCGCGGCGCCAGGCCACGCTCTCTCATTAACATCCCGCTCCCGGTGGCGCAGGGGAGCCGGCCAAAGTTCCTTGCAAAGTGGCGAGCGAGGGAGCGCTGAGCACTGGCGTCTGGGCTGGGGAGGAGCGGGTCCGAGCGAGGACGGAGAGGGGACAGAGGGAAAGGGAGGCGGGTGTCTTCCCCAGGAATTTGAGCTTGGGGTCTGCATCCTGGCCATTGCAGTCCTTTAGCATCCTCGCCGCGCCCTGAGCGCGCTGGAGGCTCGCAGGCTGCGCCCTCCCAGGGCTGATGCGGCGTCCTGCTCCGCTGTTCTGGGACGTCGGGGACAAAAGTGGAGGAGACGGGAGAGCCCGGGCAGAAAAAGCAGGACGCGCGTCCCAGGTGCCCACCTCTTCGCTTTGAGGCGGGGGCGGTGGGATGGAATATGGGTTCGCGAGGTCGGGGCTGGTACCTCGCGGAGGGGCACGGCCTCCACGCTGGGAGGGGTGAATGGACGCTGGGCCCCGGGAAATGAAGCGCTGTGGGTTCCCAGGAAGTTGGGGGCCAGGTTCTGCTCCCACCTTGGCCTCTGAAACGCTTCTCTTTCGGCCGCTAGCCTAGAGGCTGCCAGGGTTGGGCACTGTTCTCACTCACACGCTCACCTCTCTCGGGCAGTCCTCGAGATATGTGAATGGTGGAATGAATGCTGTCACTGGGGCTGTGTCAGGATGCGTTTTTAAATCTTCTCAAATGCCAACCCCTCATTCCCCACCCCAAGTTGTTTGTTTGTTTGTTTGTTTGTTTTTAGAGTAACTACCAAAGCAACAGCAATGTTAACCGTCCTTGATTAGCTGGTAATTTGGTGCAGGGTTTTTCTCATCCTCCTTTATTCTTCCTGTTAAAAAGGAGGGCTTGAGCAAATCCTTCCTAACTCTGTCTCTGGCATATGAAAAGGGTGGGGGGAGAAGAGAAGGAAGGTGGGGAGGAAAGAAGAAAAGGGGAAGGGAAAAAAAGGAAGAAGGGGAAGAGAAAATGGGAAAGAAGAAGGGAGAGAGAAAGAAGGAGAGAGATAGGAGGAACGAATGGAAATGGAAGAGATGGAAGGAAAGAAGGAAAGAAAAAAGGACAAAATTGTCTCCTTCCTCAGGCCTTTCAGCATGTATCTTTGTGGCTGGCAAAGGAAATAGCTAGAAGTTTCTGGGTAATGTGCCCCATCATTTTTTTAGCAGGTTGTAACCTCTAATAAGCACATGGTGAACTTCTGTTTCATTGCCCTCAAAGGAACTCCCTGACTGCAGCCAAATCTGCTAAGGACTCCTTCGGGGAAATTCTCTGCCAGAAATCCAGGTCCCCTTTCTGCCGGCCTTCCTTGGTCCTTTGATTTAAGAAGCTCATGGGGTCAGCGATGGAAAAGTACATATGCCCATGTTGAATAGAGACAGGCAAGAGTTATGCTTTGTGCTCTTGGCAGAGCAGTGGAGCCACTTCCTGATTCCTAAACTGGATGAAAGAGTGTGGTCCTGGCCTGCAGTGCATGGCCACTGTCCTCAAACACTGCTTTATCTCCTGTGCACAAGGCCTGCCCAGCTCTCACATGTGTAATCTAGATCTCTTGTGTGTTGAGCACTTTCCCCTGGTACCATAATTAATGCCATCTCTTCCAGGACTTCCTTGAAGGGATTGGTCTGATCTTTCTGGATCCCCATAGCATTTACAAGGGTTCCTAACATAGCGTTCATGTTGAAGAAGAGTATAATGGTGGAGAGACTTGAAGGGTTGTAGGTTTGTGGGGATAGGTATGTGAACATTTTCAGTCTCTATAGTATTTAAATGCACAATTGAAACTTGGCCTGCTAAAAACTGTCTAAAGCTCCAAACTTAACCTGATGCTCCAGGTCCAAGGGGGTCCCCAGAGTCAATCCCTCCCCCTGCCTGGGCCATATTCTCCAGCTCAGAGAGGATCCTGGAAGGTAAGGAGATCAGGAAGCAAAGCCCACCCATCCTATCAATGGGTCCCATATAGCCCTGGCAAAAGGCCCAGGCCTCCTTCCCTTTAACTGCCTGAACCTCCATTTTACTCTCCAGTAAACAGTCCTCAACTGCAGGACTCCCAGCTGAGTCTGGTGGGATGTCTCCAATGGTGAGGGACACACAAGAAGGGAGCAGATCACTGCCAAAGGAAGGTGACAAAAGTGCCAGGGAAAGGAAAAGCATAGACACCGTCAGGTCCAGGATCAGCAAGAGACACACAGCAGATAGATTTCTGAGGTCGAGCAGAATCTAGAAGCATCTGCAAAGGAAGCATTTGTTGAGAGCCTGAAGCTGACTGACCCAAATGAGAAAGTGGCACAAAGCAAGAAGTCTTGAGCAGCTCAATTTCTACCCCAGAGCCAGTCTCTCCATGAACTAAATATGAGGGAGGCAATTTCCATACCTGCCAGGCTAGAGAAGGAAGAAAAATAAAAGGGGGCAGGAATATTTTGATAAGACTAATTCCCTTTGGCTGTGCAGAGACAGCATATACCTCACCTGGGGTGGTGAGTGTGCTTTATTTTAATCAAGCAGAGTGTATTCATAGCTTTTCTTCTGGGTGTCCTTGTGCTTTCAACCTGGCTTTCTCATCCTGTAATAAATGTTTAAGTAGGAAGGAGGCTAAAGAGAAGGTGGAAGAGAGACAGAGTGAGTGACAGAAAACTGGAAATGACACCCAGGCCAGCAGAGCAGTAGATTTTTTGTGGATTTTCTCTGGTGAATATTGAACCAGCAATTGTAATTTTAAACTTTGAAAAAGGACCTCTTAAATACTCTAAATCTTCATGTGAGGGTAGCATCACCTCCAGAGACAAAGCGTGTGTGTAGAGGGTGATTGCCATCATACCTGAAAGCAGATACTTCAAGCACTATCCATCACAATTACCTTAGGTATATACTTTATAGTAAAGGTATCCTGTAAAGAGATATTCTTGTATGTACAGCATTGCCTGGGCTTTATAGCATATGTGTGATTTGACTTTAGGGTAGTTTATAATAGTAATCCCCAAACTGGGTTCATCAGGCTAATCACACAGGGAAGGGCGCAGGCAGTTGTTAGAAATGCAGATTTCCAGGCCTTATCCTCACCCACAGAATCACAACCTCGTGTGTTGGTCCCTGGGATCTGTATTTAAAGTTATTTGGAAACTCTTGATTTTTGAATATATACAATAAAGAGAAAAAGAAGGAAGAGAAGGAATGAGTGAGGAAAAGAGACTTTTGCATGGGGAAAAAAATGACAGCAGAATGAGTTTACACTTGGAAAGAAAAACTAGAGAGGTTTGGGGTTTCCCCTGGAGCCTAGTTTCCCTGCTGAGCTCCTCAAAATTTTTGCAGCTGTGGGAGTTCAGGATACACAGCTCCTCAGATGCTCCCAGGGCTGCCCAGCTCTCCGGATCTCTTGACCTGGGCCTGGAGGAAGCCCAGGGCAGTGTGCAAGCCCTCCCCACGCACCCACTCCCACCCTGACCTTCTGCTCCTTGGCTATCCCAACCCTCTTGAGGCACAGGGAAATCAATTCCCCTTCCTGAAAGGCAACATCTACTAGTAATTTCTGGGGGCTCCAGTAGAAACGCACCGGTCTCCCCAAAGAGAAAAGACCAGATACATACAGCCAAACTAAGACCCGTGGGAAGGTCCCAGCAAAAGAGGGAATCGTCTCTGCTCGTCCGCCCCCAGGAGGCCAGACTTGGGACCTGTCACTTTGAAAATTCTCTTGATCTCCGTTCGCCTTGTGAGGGCGCGCCCTCAGAAGGGCAAACCGTCCCCGGACGTGCCCCCTTCCCTCCCCACCTGCCAGGGACAGCTTCGAACGAGGCGGGAGGACAGATGCCTACTTCAGTGTTTGGAAGGGAAAGGGGAAAAGAAAGATGGGACGACCTAAGCCAAGGCGCAAAGTCCCTCAGATTGCGGCCGCTCCAGAGGAGTCGACCAGCAACCTGGAGTCGGGGTTGAGGTGGAGATGCGTAAGGGCCACGGCGCTGCCCGGTGGAGAATAGGAGTGAGTGGGGGCCCCGGGGCCCGGGAAAGCCGGGACCTGCGCGGGGGTGCAGGTCTGCGGGGCCCATGAACTGCACCCCAAAGATGCCGGGAGTGGCGGAGCACGGTGAGACACCGCCAGCCCTCAAATCCGTGGTTCTCTTCCTCGGTGATCTCCACGCGCAGTCCTCGGGGAACGCGTGGGAGTAGCAGGCCAGGGGTCCACTGGAAATCCAGAATCTGATTTCTGTTTCCGACTCTCTGCGCTCCAGAGAAGGCCACCTTTCCTGGCCCAGTATGA